CGACTTCGAACAGATGAAGTCAGACGTCTGATCACGTGAGGAGGTATCCCGTTCCACTCCTCCCTCAAAGCCTGGATGAGGGTTTGTCTGTTCACTAGGGCGACCTGTTTGGCACGAATCTGTCTCCCAAGATGGTCCCACAAATGCTCAATGAGTGAAAGGTCCGGAGAGCGTGATGGCCATGGCAGGACAACGACGTTGTTGGCGTTGAGAAAGCCTTGAACACGTTGAGATGTGTGACATGTGGCGTTGTCCTGTTGAAATACGGTTCTTGGATTCTGTTGTAGGAAGGGTAGAACAACTGGCCGAAGGACTTGGTCGATATAACGCTGCCCATTCAAATTCCCATCGACAACAACCAGATCTGTCTTTCTGTCACTACAACCGAAGATCCTGGCGACGTGATTGTGGGTAGCGCCAAGCTGGATCATGCCGATTGCCCTTTCTCTCTCTTCTTTCGATAATCTCGGCATGGTCGCAAATGTAATCGTAAAATGTAGATGTCCATAAACATTTTACGTGCTTTTATACCGAATATTTGTCACGTGTGTCATGCTTGCACGTGCACGAAACTTTCGTGAATAAGTTCACTTTTCTGGGTTCTTGCTTTGCACGTGCATCGCTGTTTCATTGAGTCAGTTTTGTTGCGTTCGGCTGAATGTTTCTGACAATAAATACTCAAAATATCAAAGTCCAAACACAAATTATAATTTCAAAAAGTTTGGTATCGTTTCTTTTGACCCTGAGTGTAGATGTAAACACACACACACACACACACACACACACACACACACACACACACACACACACACAAACCAACAACACACACACACACACACACACACACACACACACACACACACACACACACACACCAAGCCAAAACCTACCCCCTTTCAGATCAGCCATGACAGTCCCTGTTCCCTCCAGCTGCCATTCTCCTTCAGCCCATTTTTCTACACTTTCTAATGGGTGGTGGGGTAGCCTAGATGTTAAAGCCTTCGCTCAATTCATCAATTCAATTCAGTCAGTTTATTGCAAGAAGACCATAGGCCCATATACAAAATGAATATGCATAATATGTACAACGCATGCAACATACGACAGACACGTTAGATTGAATCTCTTCTCAATACGTGCGCATGATAAATAAATAGAGCTACCTTATTATAATCAGGCTGAATTTTCTCTCCGGTGAAATCCCTCTTTATATATATACACTTGGAATAATTTTCAGCCAATGATACTTAGTCTCTTTGTATTTTGGCAATTCCAAATGGCCAATGAACAAAGCTGTAGCAAATTAGGAGCCACGTGACCATGTGGGTAATCCGAAATAATTGTCCCGCTTTTACTTCATAGTTAATGCGGAAATCGAGTTTTCCATAAATCTCTAATTTAAAGCATTCTGTGTTTTAACTGTTGTAAAAACTGTTTTGTTGCAGCAAAGCCTACAAGGGCTAATCTATGCCTCTGACTCAAAGCGCTTCTGAGCGGCAATATATACTCATGCCAATAATGGCTGTCACCCCCAGCCTATTTATAAACTTGAAGGGGTGACAACCATTATTGGCATGAGTATATTACTAAATACCAGTCCTTTGTAAGTGTGTATTTAGACTGACTAAAGTCCAGAAATGACCAAACACATATTCCGTGATCAATATTATGAGCACTATGGGGTTAATTAAATTCATCCGAGTCGGATTATTCGATCCTCCGCGATGCTTTGTCAAAAGAGTTGCTGGGGACTTTTCCTGATCCTGAATCCAAACAAAGTGTGTAAAGATCCGATATGCTACTCCGAATGCCTGGCTCGCTCGTAGCCGGAGGTACAACAAACCTGTCTCATTCTCAGTGTATTCCTGGTGCTTATTGTACTCTGTGATATGTAAACAATTATGGCAACTTTGTCTAAAACAAATACACTCCTACCCTGACAGAATGTTCAGACTCGTACATAGATGGTGTACCCGTGAAGATCCGGGTTAGAATTGATCTTCGTGCTTGTCGTAAGAGACGACTAACGGCATTGGGTGGTGTAGTGTTACAACTCTATCAGCGGTATTATTGTTTTAGCGGTATGCAAGAATAACTAAGGACAGGAGTTACCTGCCTTGAAAGAATAAATGTAAAAACACCGGGCTATTAAAAGCATGTGATTTACAATGAACCTTTTGGTTTATTGAAATCAAGTGCCCTGATAACCCATCTGTCATCAGAAACAGTACAGGTGGTCAGGCTCGCTGGCTTGGTTGACACATGTCATCGTATCCCAGGTGTGTAGATCGGTGTTCATGCTGTTGATCACTGGATTGTCTGGTCCAGACTCGATTATTTACAGACCGCCGCCATATAGCTTGAATATTGCCGAGTGCGGCGTAAACCTAAACTCACTCACATGTTTAAGATTTTAAAGTCACTGAGTGTAGACAAGACAATCCAGTGATCAACAACATGGGCATTGATTTAAGCAATTGGGATACCATGGCATGTATCAACCAAGTCAGCGAGCCTGACTACCTGATGTGTGTTCGATGTTTGAAGAATAAATATTTTAAGGTCGCTTCAATGACTTTCCTATCTCCTTAGATACTGTTGTAAAACATTACGTGCAACTTGTGTTCATTTTCTTTGCAAAGTCAACGTTTTAAATTTAAAATAATAACTGAGAAGTGAACAAGCAAGGTATTGGATTCATAATTCTTTTAAAATAAATTCCAAGGAGTTGGAAGCTGTTGCAGAGACTTGGGTAACACAAAACCTCAAAATGGTTCATCAATTTAATTGTGTGCAATGATTGTGCCCAGACAAGTATATCTGATGAATGCCTGTCAAGGTACCATGACACACCTCTTGAACCTGGTAATCATACTCCTGCTATGAAACTTTGCAACCGAACAGATGAATTATGCAATGAGGTCATCTTTGAGATAACTTGATAAACCAATGACAGATACTAACACTGGTAGAACAAAATAGTTCCTGTTTCTGTAAGTCACAGTGCAGTCAGGTTACTGGTCCTGAACTAGTGGAAATGCAGGTCAAAGCCTGTGAAGATTCGAGGTCAGAAAATTGTTTAACAGCAATCCATGCTTGTCCTAAGAGGTGACTATTGGTGGTCAGGCTCGCTGACTTGGTTGGTACATGCCATGGTATCCCAACTGCTTAAATCAATGCCCATGTTGTTGATCACTGGATTGTCTTGTCTACACTCACTATTTACAGACCGCCGCCATAGAGCTTGAATATTGCAGAGTGCAGCAATAAACAGCAAACCAACCATAAGAGTTGTGATCGGTTGGCAGACTCCCTAACTTATTTGGCACATCATTGTATCCTAATTGCTTTGATTGATGCTCGTGCTGTTGATAACAGTTTCTGGATTGTCTGGTCAAAACTATCATATAGCTGGAATATTGCCAAGTGCAGTGTTAACAGATCAAGTCAAGAGTAGATACATTGCAATCAGCACGAACTCCATGCAGCTGTTGTCCTGGTTTTACTGCAAGATTTGATCACCATTGATATGAGGAAAAACAGTTTTCTTGAATTGCTTTACCCAAAACTACCACTTTCCTACAAATCTTCCAAATTATCTATTATGCAGTTGTCTCCCTTTGAAAATGTATTTGCATGGCATGTACAGCACAATTTGGACTTACATCAACTTCAGCTCTTTGTGACAGTTCAGAAATAGTACTGAAGGGACAATATGAAATGTTTTGTACTTTGTAAGTTTGTTTGTATGCCAGAAGCTCATCCCTTTACCAGGTTACCCTTCTGTTCATGCATGCTTTAAATAACTTGTACTATACTCCTCACAAAACATTAAGCAACAGGTATTTTCAGTGAAATATCTTTATCAATCTTGATAGTGATTTTTGCTTACATGTTACTGAAAGGTAAATATTCAAAGAATACATAACCTTTAGTAACTGTCAAATTGATTTATCTGATAACATTGACAACATCACCCGAACACAACCATCCTCAGAAACAGCATGCAAAATGTGTGGCATGAATGTGCTACACACTTCCTACATGCCTCGGTGCAAACCTACCTGTAATCATTCCTCTGGTACAACAAGCGGGTCCCAACTTCATTTTTATGGATGATGCCTTAGAAAGAGTTGTTAACGATGTTGTTTAGATCAACATCACACACATGGAGTGGCCTGCAAGGTCACTTAATCCCATTGAACATGCTTGGGACTTTATTGGAAGTAGTGTTTACGGTCTCCATGTTCACCCCCAGACTTTGGATGACCTTGAGCAGGCGTTACAGAGAGAATGGTAGAACATTCCACAACAGCAACTTTAAAGGCTCATTTGGTCAATGCCAAGAGGTGTAGAAGCTTGCATTTGTGCTCATACGCATTACTTAACACCACTTCACTGTACTTGAACCTTAATGTTAACATTTTGCTCCATCAATGCAGCACATTTTGCACGACTGTTTCACAGGTACATGCTTTGATGATTTGTAAGCCTCATATTGCTGAATACCAATTCATTTCATTTTGTTAATCATGCGTACGTTTCACCTTTCTATTGCATCATTCCATGATTTGCAATTTCAATAAATGACAATGTAATGAGACTAAACATTTGTGTTGCTTAACTTTTGGTGAGGAGTATAGTTTCACAATTCCAGCTATAAGGCAGCACTTGACGGGTATGCGCCAGGCAAACCAGTGACAGCATAACCAATGATCAAGGAAGTAAGACTCACAATCAGCAAATACACTCCTTGTTGCCTACCAATCGTACCCATCTCTTTGAATAAGCACTTTAAGCATGACTTACTCGACAGAGGAATGAGCATGCTGCCAGGTTTACGCCAGTTCTACCTTAACAGCCACTTGTCATAGTAAAAATGCAAAGAGACTAACTATTCTTGCTAAAATCGAGACATTCTGCATAACACAAAGGTTTAAAATGAGCAAAATAATCATTCAATGAAAATATAAACCCAAGAAAATGAAAACATCCACAAGTAAAGATTAAAATGAGTTTAATGAAGTGGTGATGAAATGACAAAACCTTGATTTAGTAAGCATATATATACAATGTATAACGATCATGTGCTTGCATTAGACAAGCAATCTCTGTACTGAATACAGTAATCTTTTGATGTATGACAGATTGTCCACAAATTCCTTGGATGATGATTGAACTGAGCATGATCCTGGCCTCATGTAATGTCTTTACGAAAATCAAGTTGATTTAATCAACACAATGCCATCTTGGCTATTTTCAACAGAATGATCAACGTCTTTTCTGGAACACATTGCCACGCCCACCAGCTCTTCCTCTCCCTCGGGCAGCTGCAACATAAAAGGGCAATATAGAAATCACATGCATAAGCCTGGGTACTGAAATTTAATACAATAACATTATAAAGAGAAGCAGGTATTCCAGTCTGCAGGCCATTTTCTATTTCAAGATGGCTTAAATTTAAGACATGTCGAAATAACTACCAACTACATTAGAAAGATGTTACATCATGGTAACATGTTTGAACTATCAAGTTGTGTTTGTGTAGACTAACATCTCTATCAACCAACAGAACAACCTACAAATATCCTGTTATCCTTAAGTTAAAGAATAATATTCTGAGTGTCCAAGATTTATACTGAATAATACTTTTTGTAGGAGACACTGTCAGACATAGTACCTGGCAGTTTTGTAACATTACCATGTACTGTGTTATGACTACTGTAGTTCACCTTTTGGAATACTGACGTTTTCAGTGCAATGCTACCATAAGTCACTCCCCAAAATGAAAAACTGATGACTGCATGTATATCAAATCTGTTTTTACTCATCAATACTCAGACCCTTACAGATACTGAATGTGCACTCCTGTATATTTACTCCACAGAAAAGATTCAATGGGTAGTCTAAAAGTAAAATACATTACAGGCCAATAGTTCATATAACAACTAGATTTATACTACAAGATTTTCAGGACCTGAGGAGATGGTCTTACCCAACCTGTCCTTGTGTCAAGGATTTTCAAAACAAAATACACATTAGGTGCATATGCAGTCTACAATCTTAACCACTAATATGAAGTCCAAACATCAAACAAAATTCTGTCTGGACCAGTAAGCTCAGAAATATTAGGCCACATTACAGAAAATGGACATTCAATAATCCATAAACATCTAACAAAGCTCCCTATGCATGCTAAAATGCTGGAAATTTACTAGCCCTCAGAAAACACATCAACATCTGTCAACCAACTTGGGCTGGTGCAACTTACATCCCTGCATACAGAACATTCAGACATTTCTATTGCCAGAGTGCTAAATGTTGAAATCAGTATGCAAAATGCACATCTTGTGCTGTGGCAGCTTAAACATTTGTTGAATACTTCAAGGACAAGACAATCCTTATCCAATTATTCTCTCTATAAATTATTTGTTGGTATGTTGTTTTAACACTGCACTCAACAATATTCCAGCTTTATGGCAGACTGTAAATAATCAAGTCTGGACTGCACAATCCAGTGACCAGCATGAGCGTCGAGCTACGTAACAAGGATATGACATGGCAACCAAATTAATTGACCACCCATTAATCTATTGCCTTTTCCAACAAGATTGGGTGGCAATTCTAACCCAGATCGATGGGTACTCTTAAACTTAAGAACTTGACAACTGCAGTTCAAAACGATTTAACAATGTGATAGTATGGGGCCCACGGTACCACAATGGTTTTATATCACTCTTCCAGAATGCAACACAAACTAAAATGATGCATTTTCTGTTTGACTGAAATTGCCAGAGCGAATACGTTCACCATACGAAGTGTATTTATATATAAAACATGTAACATACAGTGCGTGAACTGCATGAACGCTTACAACAACCACAGTTCATCTTATATCTAGTAATGTTGCACTTAATAATGAAATCAAAGCAATGTTTATACCCTGTGCACGAAGAATGGCTGATTTTCCTCGTCCTGCGCCGCCACCCTTGCCCTGGACTCTCTTGAACATTGGGGCATTTTTTAACATGTCCGGAAGTATGAGGAATCGAATCTTGCTTCCACGGATGTAAACATTTTCCAGCTGTGCAACTCGGCCATCTCTGTAGGTAACTGTAATGTTAGCCATTTGGCAATTCATATTGTCCTCGGCTTCAACAAGCTTTCCTCTGTATACTTCACCCATGGTTGTTTCACAGGTCACAATGTGGCCTTCTGCCTCGTGCAGAACTTTAATAGGAACACCAATAGACATGGTGATATTCCGTCTGTACCCTCGTTGTGTTTTAGACCTCTATCTCCCCTCCAAATGTCCAGATGCGATGGATTGTAAACAATGGTTCCGTACTGCTCACGCTTTTGAAAATGGCGGAGCGCGTACCGGCAACGTTTGAGGAGCGTAGTTAGAGTTACTCCCCTTTGATTGTCATTGTGTTTTGGGAACTAGTTTCTGATTTCAACAACGGGATCTGCATTGCATCTCAAATGTGCTCAAGCTTAGCGTGAAAAACACTATTTTATTTGTCATTTGAAAAAAAACTGCACCAAGAGGTTTACATTCAATCTGACAACACAAATTCAATTTTGTGTGAAAATGAGAACTAGATACATCGTGAAGTTGTGATTATGTTTTCTTTGCAAATCCACTTTTGTATTTGATTATCACTTCATCTTTGCAAGACAAAATGTGATGAAGCATAACAACAACCGACGTTTGTTGCGCGTTAATGTTCCTAAATCTCTAATATTGGTGATATTGGAAATGGTTTGTTTATAAACACTGATTACTCCCCCCGATCAACTTCCGTAGTTCCACTTCCGGTATGAGGGTGGCGTTTCAGAAGTATGAAATCGTCAACTATGACTGTGACAACAGACACTGTAGGACTGTGCAAGGTCATAAAAAATAAGTGCATTTGACAGAGATAAGCCCGGCACACAGACCAGAGGTGTGTTTGGTGTTTAGCGATACCGGTGAAAGACTGTCCCTATTTATGATTCTAAGCCACATTGTATTCACAAGAAATGAATACTCTTTCCTCACAAGCATGGTGATTAGCAATGCTGGTAAAAGACTGTCCCTATTTATAATTTTGTTTTCATAAGAAATCAGTAAACCCCACCCCAGATTAATCTAATCTGACTTCTTCTTTCCGACTCAGAGCGTGCCACAAGCGTGGTGGTTTTAGAAATCAAAGGCGGTCTTAATTTACACTTATTTGACACTGAGTAAATCTTGTTTGTCCATAACATATAAGTGACTTCTTGTTCACTCCATGTCAGACATCGCCGAAATACCTTAGTTGTGCATGCGACGTTAAAGCAAATAACTACTACTCCATGTTAGAACCATGGCAAAGGCACAAGTTCAAATAAACTTTATTGAGAGTGTGAGAGGAGGCAGGCATTTGTACTATGATGGCTTTAAGTTTCGGTGTAAGAGCACTCGCAGTGAAAGAAAATACTGGTCTTGTGTTGTTGCTGAGTGCACTGCACGGATCATAACTCAGGGTGAGATGATCCACGCCATTGAGATCATGGGTCACTCTCACGACGCCCTACCTTTTGAGTTTGAAGTTGACTCCTTCAAAGCTAGACTGATGGAGAGAGCGAGGACAGAAACAACCCCCATACCTACCATCTACAGCGAGGAGATCTCCAGACTAAGCCAGCATCACGACACCATCACAGATGACGTTCTGAAGCAGATACCAGCTCTGAAGTCCCTAACCACTATCCTCTACCGCCAGAGACACAAGACGTTGCCCCACCTTTCTGCCAGCAGACCCCAGACCCCAGATCCAGTTGGAGGAGAAGTAGGTGGCAACCAGTTCCTGCACCGTGTTAGTGACGACGTCCTTAATTTCACTACTGACAAGAACATTGAACACTTGTGTGCTGCAGATATTGTGTTTTATGATGGTACATGTTATGCCTGTCCAAAATTGTTTGATCAGATTTATTGTATTCATGCAGAGGTGTTTGGTCATATGTTTCCATTAGGTTATTGATTTCTGTTCAACAGAACAAAGGAGTGTTATGTTAGCATGTTTCAGTACTTGTGTGATGTTGCACGTAGGCAAGTCTTACAGTTTTATGAGGAAACATGTCTTGTTTTGTTAAATATGGTAACCTGTTTGAATCACTAAGCATGTTTTGACAGCATAGCTGGGAGAGCCACATTCCATGTTCGCACAACCATAACTATTGCTGGGAGAGCCACATCAATTTTGGTGATCTGTTTCGGAAAAGTGTCTCTCCCGGCCTGTAACCGGTGGACAGTTGTCAACTGTATGACTTAATGCACATGGTAGCCTTTTAATTTGTGATCTTATAAGGTTTTCTTAATTACATTGGTGTGAAGCCCATTTCTGGTGTCCCCCCACTGTGATATTGCTGGATTATTGCTAAAAGCGGTGTTAAACCAAACTCACTCATTCACTAAATTACATTGTATTAATTTGTTAAATGAGGTTAGATTGCTAACTGATACCTTTACAGACAACTAGATGTTAAGATCTGAAGGATGTGTATGATTAGCTAGCGGTACTTGTGACTGAGGATGTTGATACTACAGGAATGGTCCTAAACACAGGATTATTGTGCAGGAAACCACATGTTAAAATAGTTGGGCTGTCCGGTTTTCGATCAGGTTTTTAGCATTGGGAGTTTCACCTCTTGTGTATTTTATGTAATGAGTGTAGGGGTAGAATTTTCTAAAATCTTCTTGACATGTAAATCATAACAGTGCTTGATTGTCTAGCCCAGACTCAGTTATTTACAGATCAGTGCCAGTTAGCCCGGAACATTGCTGAGTTCTGCATTAACAACAAAAATTACACTCAGTGAAATGGTGGAAGCAATAACTTAACCAAGAAATAATAATCTGAACCCTATTTGAATTACTATATCTATGAGGCAAAAAGCTTGATAGTATGCATAGTTCTGTATTCATTTTATTCCCCTTGGGATTGAATGTAATAGAAGATATTTCAGATTTGCAGATCAAAGTCTGAGGTCCATTAATAAAGGTTCTAGTGTCTTTGAAGGTGATAATTTGCAAAATCATAAAAGTTAAGCAACTCAAGCTGGGATACTGTTTTTTGTTGATACTGAGCTTTCCTGTTGATAGATTTGTGTTTGTAGGTGATGAGTGAGGGTGTTCTCTATTCAGACCAGACAGTCGTAGTGTAATTCTGTTAAACCTGGAGTGCTAGCTTAGCCCAATGGTTACATATTTTGCTTGGAACACTTACTAGCTCAGGGATTGATCACAAATGCACAGAATACATAACATTCAGAATATACAGTGCCATTTCAAATATGGTCAGATGTAACATGTTCTATTACAGCTGCTCAGGAAAGTACATATTGTAGTACCTTGAGTCCCATCCATGATTCAAAGTTAGGTATCTAATCACTAGTATTGGGAATTGGTTAAAATCTCATAATTGATGACTGGTTCCTGATAAATAGACTGATAAATCATCAAAAAAAATTAGTTATCATCATTTATCAAATTTTCCTGGTTATGTTACTTATTGCACAAAAAATAAAGAAACACTTGTAGTTCTTTCGGGTTTTTTTTCAAATTGCACAAAATGAATTGGCAAATTTCACATCTTTAAAGGAGGACTAGTATGTTGAGAACATAAATTTCCTGAAGTCTTCAAGGTAATTTCAATCATGCTTTTAAACAAGCTTGTAGTGCTTATGAAATGTAACAGACAAAACCAACCCTGTGAAAAATATTGTTAATGCAAACAAGTGCTCCAAAATTGTTTATGTTCAATTATGAGAAATCATGATCGATCGATTGCTTGATCGTTTAGTCACAGTGACCAATCTTCGATTATTTCAATTAATCGGACCACCACTACTAAATCACCAGGACACAATATCAGCGAACCAAACCACTCAGACACTGCTGCTTCACCCGAAATGGAAGTCTGACAACTGGTAGTCTTGATCACATACTTTGTGTACCCTTCTCACGATTGTGACTTGGCATGGCTCCTATGGTGAAGCTATGAATACTCAATTGTATTTAGTAGGGCTGCAACGAATACACTATGTGGCAAATATCACAAATATTGGGTAACGAATATGAATAATAATTCACGAATACAATATTGTAGTAAAGTGATTGATGTACAATATAAACGCCCATGTTGACAGAGTTAATTTGTCACAGTAATAACTAGTGATCTCAGGACACTCAAATTTGGTATGTAATAGTTATAGTCAACAGTACCATGTGCGGCCTTTGCAAACTAATATGACTTACGCTATTGCAAGGCTAGTACATATTCCATTCTTGCATATCTGTTTTTGACAAAAGGACATATGGGTTCAAGTAAAACACGCTCCCTTAAAAAATCATAATTATTCGTTAATATTCGGTTCTGGTGACCACGAATAACAAATTGAATTCATGAAGGGCTAGGGTTCGATTCACCGAATATGTGAGTGAATCGTTACAGCCTTAGTATTTAGTAAAGAGTAAAATATGACAAATGTTATATACAAGATTACACTTTCTCAGTAAATCTGGTATGTTCAGGTAGCCTATTGGTTAAAGCGTTCGCTCGTCAGTACATCTGGGATTGATTCCCGTAGCCCATGTTAAGCCCATTTCTGGTGTCCCCAGCCATGATATTGCTGGAATATTGCTTAAAGAGATGGAAAACTAAACTCACTCAGTAAATCTGTACCGGAGCACAGCATCCTGAGAATGAGTAGTTTGTACAATTCCACACAAAATGTCATGATGGTGGATGCCTCCACCTGACAATCCAGTGATTGATATTATGATGAACAACAATAATAATAGTAATAGTGCATATTTATAACGCGCACATATCCCTGAACCCCCTCTGGATTTGCCACTGGGTTGGGTCATTCATTCCTCAAAGCAAATAATGAAATATTCTTTAAGTTGTTAAAAGTTAAAAAAAGATGGATCATGAATAGTTTTGGATATAATTTTCATGAAATTGTGGGTTCAGTTTTCAATCCACTAGAATATCCCCCCAAATATTCATGTTCCTGTCAGTTGTTCAGTATAGTTACTACAATGGACCAGACAGTCCATGGTTGAGAGTTATGTCCCTTTAACTGTGACAGTATCTACTGGGTTTCAAGAACATGATACACTTTGACAGTCTGCATCATTCAGTATTTTCCTCTCACATCATGGGAAAACCGATGTTAAAGTAGTGCTACATCCAAGTCCAGTGTTTCAGCTGGCATTTTTTACAGCTGGACATTGTGACCGGCTAGCATTTCAAATAATGGTCATTTGTAAATTTTAAGGTCAAGTGATCACGCTTTTCATTATATATGTGGGCGAGACCTTGCACCCTAACAACCAATCAGAAATGTAGAGGGTATCGCAATGTGTCAATGCCTCTATATTTAGCCTGGGTTTTTCCAAAACTGTTATTTTTTTATTTGACAACACCTTGATGTCATTGTGAAAGCGCAATCTTTTTCGAGGAGAAATAAAATTGACAGAGGTAATTAGAAAATTGATTTAAAATTTGGCGGACATGATGACCGTCAGCCTTTGAAATTACCGGACATTCTAACTTTGTACCGATCAAATTCCGGTATCTATCGGATAATGGAAACACTGAAATTCGCGATCCTATGTGTATCACCTTTCAAGAAACTTGAGAATGTTTTACTAAGTTAAGGCCAGACCAATTTTATTTCTTGTTTTACGGATCCGCCTGTTGTATGTTTTCAAGATTAAGAAAAAAATAATAATTAATTTTCCCTGCTCAAAAAATAAAATCCTGATGTTTTTATTGGCCAAAAATGTAAACTTACAAGAAAAATGTTTTTTAGATGTTTTTTGCCTCATATACACTTCATAAATTGCCAAAAGTAAAATACTTTGAGTATTTGGAAGATATATTACTTTGACTGGTGATTTTATTTTTTATTTTTTCCTCCTGCAGGTTTTCTGAGGACAAAAATCCGTAAAACAAGAAATATAATTGGTCTGGCCTAAACAGCAAAGACAGGATTACATGATCTTTTCCATCATGTTGGAAAATTTACTTTCATAGGCACTGTATATGACTGTAGATTAGCCAAATTTTGAGGACCAAAAAGTCAGTAGAAGCGGGTTGGCTTATTTTCGGCTTACACTTTCATCAAACCTTTTTATGGTGGTCAAACCATTTTATGGTGTGTAAATAAATGACTTTTCAACAAACATCACTAGGCAATATTATGTCTTTTCAATTCCAATTTGATTTTGCCACAGAGCAGGGATTAAGATTACTGTGTGTAAATAGAAATCAGCTGTGCACATGTTTCCCAGCGATCTACCAGTGATTTGGTTAAAACATACCCAATAATATAACGAGATGAATTCTGATGCAGTAATCGAAAAAATATGGTATCTGAAACTATTATTTAGCAAGAGAAATACATTCTAGCATAGTGTCATTATTTTAATTGCACTTGATGCTGTGCAAGTATCTGTACTTAAAATTGTCTACCCTGCCTTCTTTATTATGGCTTAGAAATGATTAAAAAAACTCAATATTTATTTGCAGAAAATGGACCAATGGACTGGTTACCAAGGCAATCCAGCCTCATTCGGAACCTGGAATGGGATGGACATGACCTTGACCCCTCCGTTCCAGCCTGTGGGACAACCACGGTACGGATCTCTCAATCCAATGTACACCAACCATCTACCTCCAACTCATCAAAGATTTGAACCACCAGTTCGACCTTTTCTACCAAATCAGTTTTCTTCCCATTCCACAGACATACCAATTCATCATTTTGATAGCTTTTCAGACAATGTATCCTCACGTCACATGACAGAGTTCAACAGTCATACTGGTCGTGGAGTTTCCAGTGCTAGCAATTCCAAACCTTTCATTATGTTCGCAATCAACTTTGACAATATTTCTGTACGCAACCTGTGCCAGGAGGAAGACAACTTGATATATCTTATCGCATATAATCATGAAATCGATTTGCTGTCCGCGATGGATGTTGAAGATTTGCTGAAGCTGAATGATGTCGAAATTACAAATCCCGAAGAAGGGGTTAGTGTTTTGACAACGGTTCAGAATATGAAACTAACGGTGAGTGAGAATCCTTCGAACAAGGTGTACAATGTGGAGAAGAAGGAGGAAGAGGTTGCTAAAAGTACTGAAAACGATAAAGATGATGTTGAGAAAGATGGGGAAGAAGAGACTACAGAGGATTGTGGGAAGGATGGATTTGATGACAGGGATGACGAAGAATCAAAGGAGAACGTATCCGAGGATGACACTGTTGACGTGATGCAGGACGGTCAAGCAGAGACCGACTCTGACCATGACAGTTTGGAATCTTTCGCAGAACAGAAATCACTCCGTTCAAGAAGTGATAAAAACTCCAAATCAGACTCTGGTCTGAAACGTTTAAAGTCTGAAAATAAATCCATTCAAAATGTTCTGAAGAAATTGAAAAATCTTAAAAGGCCATTGGAAGATGACGGAAGGAAAATCAAAATGGCCACTCAATGTGCAATGTGCAGGCTGAACCATATGAAAGGATTGTGTGTTATAGAAAATCCCAAGTCTTTCATCCCGGACAATTTATCTTCCAGCAACAGTCACATCCTATCATATGCTTCCCTTCCAGCCCAGTTCTACCTGGGCATCAGCGAGACCATAAAAGGATATACGATATACGCAGCAGAAAAGATTCAAGCAGGGACAGCGTTCGGTCCAGTGATTGGACAGGAGATTGACTATGAAAGTATTCAGTGTTTGACAGATCTCAAGTATATATGGTTCATTCAGCCCCGTCTGAGCCATCCAGTCAGAGCTGATGAAGAAGGCGATGAGGATGGCGAGGAGGAGGTTCAGACGTTCCTGACGACGGAGGATGAAATGAACAGCAATTGGTGCCCGGTTTCTCTCACCAACTTTACGCTTTGTGGACAGCAACTTGTACTATGTCCAAACGGACAAGGAGATATATTTCATAACCCGTCGTAATGTTAAAAAGGGGGAAGAGATACAGTTTTACGCTGCGTATATGGACGATCAGCAACATCTTGTGTTATCAAACGATGAGTTGAAGTGTCATCGGTGTAGTCTAGACTTCGACAGCAACGTGAACTACATCAAACACGTGAGGATTGTTCATCCAAGAGGAATAACTCGGAAAAAGGAGAAGTGTAAAATCTGTCACAAAGTGTTTCATAAATACGCCCACCTCGCCAACCACGCTCAGAACGAACATGGCGGCATGGGGGCATACAAATGCGAACAGTGTGGACGTGATTATCTGTACGCCAGACAACTCAACCGACACATACAGACTGTCCACAAACAGGACAACATAGAAGCAAGCACCTGTTCCGTATGCGGCTCCACATTTAAAAATTCATGGAGACTGAAACATCATATACGACGGAATCATTCTGTGGAACGGTTCTCATGTGAGAAATGCAACAGAGTCTTCAACAGTAAGATGGGACTCGAACGTCATCTCAAAACCCACACACAAGAATTCGCAATTTTCTGTGATCGTTGCGGGAAGGGATTCCGAGACGGCAGCAACCTGAAAGTCCATCTGTTGACTCACTCTGGGATCAAACCCTTCTCCTGCAGGCATGAGGGCTGTGGCACTGCCTACACCACCAAGCAGTGTCTCCAGATCCATTACAGGAAGGCCCATGGCTACAGCGATGATAGCATGCCGGAAATTATACGGACAGTGCCGTTCACAGTAGAGGCTCATTCTGTAGAGAACAGTATATAGATGTAGTGTGCATGTTGTCTCAGTGTAAAACAAGAAACGATCTTTTGTTTTCTGTGCCCACAGAGCAGATTTTGGGGAAAATTCAGATCATATTTTCGTAAGTTCAGATGCATTTTGACATTGCAGTGTCAAACTAAACATTCAAGTATAAAATAATTGCAGAATATTAGATGTGGCCAAGTATTAATACTGAACTCATATTATTGCTCTGCATGCAATGTTAAAATACATCTGAATTTCAGAATATTGAAATTCCAATTTCTCTTTGTTCTATTTGAAGTTAATGACTAAAGCTTAGATGAATCCCTGTGTGTAAGTTTGAGCATGTTTTGTAAAATGTTTTACTCTGGCACAGTTCCATATGATATGACAGTTATAGTATATGTTATAGAACGGAAGTTACCATCACCTTAATGCTTGCTTGTTTTGTGGTGAGATGCCCAGGCAAAGTATAACAATTGTTAGTCTGACTGACTCAAGTGTACTCAATGTCTCTGATAATGTAGTTCTGGTGCCAGATCCACAACGTGATTCTTAAAGGTCACATGCAACCAAAAAAACAAACATAATCAAAACAAAATTATCACTTATTCATGACATATAATATACATTGCTGATTATGAAAAAAACAAAATTATAAGCGTACAATCGCAAATCAAAAGTGCAATGTTGTGTACTTGGGTTTACCTCCCTTGAAACGAAGCACCCGGGGCACCAAACCCAGTCAGAGCGGTCTACTCCGATTTGTGAGAACTCCCAGTTGTGAGACTCCCAGTTATGAGACAGTGGAGCAGGTAATTAACAACGAAAACACACCATACTCCCCTGTCTGATAGCATGGATTAACCCTAGCTAATTACTGATTTGCTATGTAACTGAATCTTTTGGAGGTAACTTAACGACACTTTATAAGATAAATTGATTAACATACTCCGGTAAATGTCCTTAAAAATTAAACACTTTGTGTAGGTAACTTCATGATCATTTGAAAGAGAAATTAATTTACCTACTCAGAGCTATAGTTTAAGAAATAACTCTGAAATACAAGGAATTTACTGTCGAACTGCCTCTTATAAAATAAAATATTTAATGAACTATTTCTTCTTTGTAAATAAAATCTTTGATAATCTATTTCATTAATCAACTCGTCAATGAACTATGCCTGTGGGTTCTCTTCAACAATTGGGCTGATCCCACTTTCATTGTGGGGATGTGGAAACACCACCTATGTGCACTGAAGCATTAATTAATGTGTCTCACAACTGGGAGTTCTCACAAATGGGAGGACACCGTCAGAGCGGGTGGGCGTGCACTTAAGTGTAATGAGGACTTTCATTGGCTGGTTCATTTGCTGATACACTCTTTGTGCGTGTATAGAGATGTTGGGTTTTGTAAATACATGCTCATTATTTGTGTATAACATTTTGCAATCAACAGACACCATAACATGTCATGTGTGTAAGTATCACACCTGCCTGTCTGTTTAACTGCATAATGTAACAGGGACAGAACTCGGGTTCATGAGCCATAAATCAATCCTGCTTCCAAGCTGCGTGATCCTATTCACTGCGCAGGCGCAGGCAACGCAGCGCAGCACACCTGTAGAAACCACTTTCACCCCAGCTGGGGTGAATTTAGTGAATCATATAACTCCGATTTCACGGGGTTTCTTCATCACATTATTTTTCAACTTTATAAGTTGAATTTGCATTTTTGATCATTTGTCACTGTAAGTCCATACCCAAAGGTATCAGAATCTGCAAAGTTGTGTTTTACGTTGCATGTGACCTTTAAGCCTATCATACTCTGTTATTAGCACAGATCTTCATGCCACAATCTCTTTTTGGATCGGGACCCAGTTTCTTGTCATGAAATGAGTTTTATGTGTGATGAAGCTGTCTATGATGCAGCAATGTGTTTAACATAGTTACCTCCCTTTGTAACACCAGAATCCGATGATTATGGTTTCAAAGTCCAGATCCACCCTGCTTATGATTCTGTGTTTGTCAGCACCATATCCATACTCATGGGTTCGTCTTGATCACTTAACGTATGTTGACTACGAGAGACAATATTTCTCTGTTGGAGGTACAAGTCTGTTTGTATCTGTTTAAATTGTTGTAGTTTTCAAGATACAAATTTTCTGTGCAATATTTACTTCGTGCTGCCAGAGTTGTTTTCTAAACTATGTATATATATTTACATATGCTTTGAAGTGCTTGAAGAATAAATATAATATTGTGTAAGATAACAGGAAGGAGTAGCTTACACTGATAAACAGAATTCCACAGTTTGGAAAACCAATATTGGCATTCATAGTACAGTAATGTGAAGTTGAACTATTTTTTTTCCTGTTGTCATCCTTACGTGAATATTTTGAATGTTAAAAGGTAATACAGGTTCTATTTGGGCTTGTGTGTGGCCTGTTGTCAACGGTGTTGCCATTCACTGTGTAGAGTTGCTTCCCTTTGAATGCAAGGCACCTTTAGTTGTGGCTTTGAATCCTGATTTGCCCTGATTATATTTCTATTGTCAGCACCATACCTGATCCCATGCTTGTTGTAAGAGGCGACTAACAGGATTGGGAGGTCAGGCTCGCTGACTTGGTTGACACAGGTCATCCCAATTGTGTAGATTGATGCTCATGCTGTTGACCACTGGAATGTCTGGTCCAGACTCGATTATTTACAGATCACCGCCATATAGCTGGAATATTGCTGACTGTGGTGTAAAACTAAACTCACTCACCCTCTCATTCGTTCGATGAGTCGAACTACCCACCGATACAGACTTCACATGTAGGCTGAAGTGAAGTTACTAGTACTTCACATTATTTTCATAATATGAAGTACTTTTTATGTCCATGTGTTTTTCTAATGTGTAAATGTTTGAGACTTGCATTACTTAGGGTCTTCCTCCTACATTAAGCAGACACGTGAATGATGTTTAAATCAGCTTTAAACGTAACTGATAGTTTTGCATGATTAATATTCAAATGGAAATCAAGAAACTCTTTATTGTCTTATAAATACGGTGCACCCTGAGATGTGATATGTGTCATTGAAAGTAGGTTCTGTTTGTCCATCAACCATAGTATATAATCCACTCACGTTAATGATGTATTAAATATGTTTTGTTTGATAAAAGTATTACTTTTTGGTTTCCTTTTTCTAAATTTAATGTTTACATATTTCATGAGTTGTGACCCATTTCAAGGCATGAAATGTCATTTTTTTATGATTTGTTTGCTTGGTAAACAAATGCAGATGTTTGTTGGCATAATTATCTTTGCTTGCTGAAAGTTAATCTTGATTAAATCATGTTATACAAATGGCCTTGTGTCAATATTCATTCTCAACATATTTGTCCATGTGTAATACAGTATTCAAGGGCACACAGGTAAGTGACATATTGCCACAGCTTGTGAGTTGAGTGAGTGAGTGAGTGAGGTTTTACGCTGCTTTTAGCAATTTAATGGCAGGGGTACCAAAAATGGGCTTCACACATTGTACCCATGTGGAATTGAACCCAGGCCTTTGGCGTGATGGGCGAACCCTTTAACCACTACGCCACCGTCTCTACCACAGTTTGTGTGCATATCTGTATTTAACATTTCACTCAACCTTTGATTGTGGTTTAATTCCCAGATCACACTGATTAAGGGACCGTTGATAGTTTATGGCTCAGGTTCAATTCCCCACATGAGTACAATGTGTGATATTGCTGGAATATTGCTGAAAGCGTCGTAAAACCATACTCATTCACTCACTATCAGGGTTTTACAAGACGCGTGATTCCTGCGTATTTGACGCAACAATTTTGTTAATGACTCTCAAAATACTATCATACGAGTCAAGCTTGACGTAAGTTTTATAGGTGGTCCTCACAATTCAGTTCAATAAAATCAATTTGATAAGCAAAAAATGATATTGTTCGATGATAGTTTGACTTTTACGGAGTTGTCAGTTTGTTCCAGAGAACTCAGAGGAGACAGCAATCCTGGCTGTTTGAATTGAACAATGCTGTAGTGGCATTTGGTGGTGTGACATACACAGTTACATACTGAGAATGATTAACACAAAGAAATATTAAAATTTCCATGACTCCTAAATATTGAAAATGACTCCCAAAATAAATATTTTGAGTGACCATGACTCCCATTTTTAAAAGTCTGTGTAAAACCCTGTCACTATGAGTTTCAGTGAAGCGGTAATGTTTAAGACCTGCATCACTAGGGGCTCTCCTCCACAGTAAGACGACATTCTGTGATACAACTGGGCCACGTTTCACATAGCGATCTTCGTGCTATGAATATTGTATCTCCCATACTTTAACATACAGTCGTAGCACTAATATCGCTTTGTGAAACACGGCCTGGGGTATTCGTAAGATATGAGGATTAAACCCAGTGCATTCACTTACTGCATGTCAACATTTATTATCAGTCGTATTTTCCAGGGTCGATCGGGTGGCCTAGTGGTTAAAGCGTTCGCTCGTCACCCCAAAGATCCAGGTTCAATTCCCTACATGGGTACAATGTGTGGAGCCCATTTCTGGTGTTCCCCACCATGACATTGCTGGAATATTGCTTAAAGTGGCGTAAAACTACATTCACTTAGAGTTTCAATGAAGCGGTAATGTTTAAGACCCGCATCATTTTGGGCAGTACACCAACATTCTGTGATACAACTCACTTTCAGAGTTTCAATGAAGCGGTATCTCCCATGTTTAACATAGAGTTACTAACTAAGATCGCTTGTAAAATGGAGTACCCCAGCTCATTCAATACCAAATATAAAAGCCCCATAATTAAGCCCAGGGCTTAAATTTCTAAGCCCATGGGCATAATTTCGAGTGGGCTTAAATATGGGAAATCCCGGTACTGCTTGTCAGCATTTATTATCGGTCATATTTGTCCAGGGGTGATAGGGTGGCCTAGTCGTTAAAGTATTCGCTCGTCACCCTGAACACCCGGGTTCAATTCCCCACATGAGTACAATGTGGGACACCGGTACCGGACACCGGTGTTCTGACAAGGGACACAAACGAACTGTTGGAGGTAGCAAATGACAACAGATGTATTTATTGGTATAATGCAGTAATCTGATATGGCCACCTGTCTGTAATCAAATCTGGAATGGACAGTTCAGTGGTTGATAGACTGACCAAGGTGTTTTGGAGGATACAGAGAAAAATGATAACTTGGAGAAAACTTCATGGCTGAAAAAACTTGCTGGAGCCCAGTTGTAACAGAATTAATTCAAAGTTTTGTTTCCATCTGTATAAACACAGCTGCATATGCCACCAGTGCATCAATGTCTTAGCAAGGATTTTCAGTGTCACTATGACCAGCTTTCAGTATAAGCTTGGGCAAGCTAGTCATCCATAGTTATGTCCCTCTATCCAGTTGGGATCCGACGATTGAGTTTGAATCCAACATCTGTTGGGATTATGATTGTGATCCTTGGTTTCAGTGACAAAGGTCAAGGACTCTCCCACCACATCTGATATCAGTCTTATGACTGAAATACTGGCATCAAACCCAACTCACTCACTCACTACCCGTGAAGATCCGGGTTAGAATATTGATCTTCAGCAACCCATGTTCGTCGTAAGAGGTGACTAACAGGATTGGGTTGTCAGGCTCCCTGACTTGGTTGACACATGTCATCGGTTCCCAATTGCGCAGATCAATGCTCATGCTGTTCATCACTGGATTGTCTAGTCCAGACTTGATTATTTACAGACTGCCGCCATATAGCTGGAATATTGATGAGTGTGGCGTAAAAGTAAACTCACTCACTTACTCACTTGCATTTCTGCTGTATTAAAAAGACAAAACAAACCAGACAGCAAACTGTAAGATTAAATATTTTATTGCCATAGTTAATATGCTAAACCGATACCAACATGACAATGTGCCTTGCAATTCTCTACTGGGACACCACACGGTGTCTTTATCACAATCTCCCACAATCCTAACCTATGTAAAACTATACATAGCAATAAACAATGGTAAGAAATTCACAATTTGACATCCTTCTGAAATAAATACTGTTCTAATTCAATATCCATACTGGCCCAAAAATTTAAACCTGTTATTTTGTAAAAAAATTATGTTACCATGGATACAGTTATATGCACTAAAGTGAGCTCAATGAAAAAATACTGTGTAACCCTCTCTTACATTTTTGAAGCACCAAGACACTTAAGTATATATTTGTCATCACAAAAAATTAAATATTACCCACAATTATTAATTGAAGCATTTAACATCTTGACGGAAAACTTATAAATGAGAATGTAATCAATTATTGCTTTCAAATGTATACTATTCATCTTTCAATTCTTCATCATAAAAAGTAAAAATAATAACACAGTTAATAAAAATAAAATGTGTTTCCTTTTCTTTTCCACACAAGTTGCTAAATCTTCAACGTAACAATCAATGGATAGGATGTAAAAAACACTCATTGTAAAGATATCTATCTTTGGTTGGATTAAAAGTATATTAACAAAATTGTTGTAAAAACATAAAACACTTACATATTGGTAATGATATTGTAAAAAGGAACCTTGACTTCGTGAATTGATTTTTAAAATATATGCTGACTAGACATTTTTATGAGACGGGGTCAAGTTCCTTTAGCTGCTGAATAAATAGTCTCAGTTCTACATCTACCAAACTTGAAAACAAACTAATTCTGCAGTAGACTATACTAAAGCATTGTGAAGAATGTATGAAACCAAAACAAGATAAAATTCAGTGATAGCCTCAAAAAGCATGTGCAATGTTCGTAAGTTGTCAGGTATTTGTTTGCAGTATTCTGAAGCATCAATTCATAGAAATTGTTAGGTATCACCTGTTGGTAAATGCTGAATCACAGACCCATATGCTTTATCTAAACCAGCAACCGTCATTGCCATCAGATAACAGGCATTGGTCTAACTGTTAACAACCATTATCCAATCAGATAATGACCATTATCTAATTTAATAACATATTTTCCCATCAGATAACAACTTATCCAATCAGATAACCATTATCCGATTCGGTAACAACCATTATCCTATTGGATAACAACAGTTACTGACCAAATAAATGACACATGCTATCCCATCAGACACCAATTATTATCCAATCAGATAACAACCATTGCCACAGTCAGATTTAAAGGACTGTATGAACTTCAGAGTTGTTGAAATGACAAATAAACCATATCTGTTTTGGTTGGCAAGAGGTCTCTGATTAATTTCAGTTCATCTCAGAGAAAGGTGATGGTGTTTTTTTGTCAGTATAATCATTAGAGTGATGAATTGATTACAGAAAAATAATTCTACAAGTTGTTTTTTGCATGCTTGGTCAAACCCATTCAAATACTTTGGAATAGTGTAGATTGTGATTATGCTAATTTCAACATTTTTACATTTTTTCTTGAAGTATAAAGTCAAACAACACAATTGCTTGTAACAGTGAAAAATATATGTTGTTAGGTTATTGACATTTCTGAAATACAATCCTTCTCCTGTTCCTGGAAATAAAAGACTTCTCCAGGGGTATGGTTCTTGTGATTCAGCGTGACCAACACATCTCCAAATGATCAGCCAATCAGCAGGACTCATGCACTGATCAATGGAAGGAAGGAACTGGTCGATGATGTAAGTTGACAAAATGTCTTCAAGGTGTTGCTATTCTCTCTGGTATTTTCGTGTGCAGGTCACTCCCTTTGCTGTGAGTGTCTGAAGGGGAAAGAAGAGGATTCAACAAAGATGAATTACATGAATAAATGAGTAAATTAAGAATGAAAAAAAAAGAATTTAAATAGACGAATGAAGAATGACATTGAATGAATATGATGATGAATGAAAAAATTAGCTAGAATGAATGATGAATGAAAAAATGAGCTTGAATGAATGAAGAATGAAAGAAATTTTCAATAAATGAATGAGGAATGAGTTTGCATGAATGAAAAATGAATGAGGAATGAACGAAAGCTTGAATAAATGAATGAATGAAGATTGAGCTTGCATGAATGAAGAATGAGTTGAATGAATGAAGAATGAAAGTAAGAGCTTGAATGAATGAATGAAGAATGAATGAGTTTGCTATGAACTGCACACTCAATAACATTCCCATGGCCCATTCTACAAACTGATCTAAGCACTGCTACCATCACAAGCCTACATTAAGTCTGGGAGTTATGAACACCTTAGCACTAAGATTTCTTTGTAGAATTTGGTCGAGCTATGAAACACCAGCCTATAAAGCAGGCCTACCAAAGAAAACTTTCCCACTGTGCAGAAAAACGCAGAAAAGCTCACATTAATCGTGGAAATGGCAACATAAACATAATACCTTGCTACTGAAACAGTAAAAACAGCAACTTTAAATCGCTAACACTGCATCATAAAACGAGGAGCCCGCAACTTCGATTTTGTGCATGCGCACATGGAAGAGGAAGTCTCGACCGCATGTTGACATTTTCCAGCTTGGACGAAAGTTACAATCCTTTTTAAGTATTTCTGTTGTGTTATTTGGCATTTATCATCATGATACTTGTGAGCACACTTGTTTAGTTTACTTTCCATTCGTATGAAACGATTGACAGCAATTATTTCGACATATTTAATACTTTTTCTACGCGAGGCGATTCACGGTTGCTCGGAAATTGGAAAGAAGCCCGGATGTGCAGTAAAGGTCAAAGTTCGCTGATATAAAAATGTTGCAGTTTCATAGTTTTTCGTTGCCGTTTTTACTGTTTCAGTAGCGAGTGGGAAAGTTTTCTTTGGTAGGCCTGTAAAGGCTCTTGAGACAGACATGAGCATCAATCCCCAAGTCTCCTCTTATGACCAGCAGAAGGTCAAAGGATGCAGTTCTAACCAGGAATCACCTCAGAATACATGCTTTAATGCCATAAGCTCAGATATAACAGGATTAATTTACTAAAGTTTTTGTTTTCATCTGTATATACACAGCTATGTATGCCACCAGTGCATGAATAGCTTAGCAAGGCTTTTCAGTGTCACTATTACCAGCTTTCAGTATAAACTTAGGTAAGTTAGTCATCCATTTCATAGTTATGTCCCTTGATCCTGTCAGGATCCGACAATTGAGTTTAAATCCAACGTTTGATCAGATTATGATTGTCTCTAAACCTGCATTATGTTGCCTCTCATTACGAGCAGAAGGTCAAAGGATGCAGTTCTGAACAAAAATCATCACAGAATACATGAATGCATTAATGCCATAAGTCTCATTTTCATGAATAATGCCCACAAGGAACTCGAGAGCTTATATATGGTACCAAAAATGTGACGCATTAGACACAAAATGGTGATCAGCTATACACAATGGCCACTGAGAATAACAAGAGATTACTACACAAGTGTCCATCAGAGAAAATATACCTTACAATTAAATGTTTCAAAACATACAATTTGAAACAAGTTGTTAGGTGAACGGTATATGACCGGCATGTCTGCAGGAATCTATGTTTTACGATCCCTATTTCATATCAAGGAAATAATGCATATGTTGTCTGTTCTGAGATCAGATAACAGTAAGAGGCGACATCTGGCTTACGGCTTTCTACTCATACTTAATGTAATCCTTTACAAAAATAGTTCCTCCATATCTGTAGATCATCAAAGCATAATGGTAATACAAGCTAATTAAAATTTTAAAAAATGAACTTATCAAACATTCTGAAACCATGAGGTTTTCACAAGGATGTAGTTTAATTTGACTAATGCATGATAATGAATCACAATTAGGAGTACACTGTCATAACTGACCTGAACAATTAAAGAATACTTCTATATGGTCATATAGTTAAAACATTTTGATTCTAAACTTATTTATTTTCAAACTAAATTACCGTTACAGAATACTTTTACAGATTCAGACTGCTGCAGAAATATGTAATGGACAGTCAAAATCAAATTTAAGAGTTTTTATAGTGACAAAAAAACCCAACAAAGTCTGCATAGATGTCCAAGATATTTTTATGGATTAAACTTCTTTTTAATTTCTCTCACGACGTTTGAGACCATTCCAGGTCCCTTCATCAGGTGAACTGATGGGACCTGGAATGGTCTCAAAACGCTGGAGAAAGAAATTAAAAAGAAGTTTAATCCATAAAAATATCTTGGACATCAATGTACAACTTCTAAATGCCACTGAAAGACATCAAAGTCTGCATACTTTCTACAACAACTTGTGAAAGTCCTCGTATAATATCTTCCTGATGAAGGAATATGTAATGATTAAACAGACAAATCCAATTTAAGAGTTCTTTCAGTTACAACCCCCAAAAAACAAAACAACAAAACAACAACAACAACAAAAAAAGACAAAACCAACAAAGACTGCCTACTTTCTTTGGTCCCTCAGTCTACGATACCTGTAACAACTGGTGAAAGCCCCCCTATAATCTCTTCCTGATCTAGGACTGTTTCAAGAATATGCCTATGAACAGTCAAATTTACAGTTCCTCAACAGTTCCTCCTGTTTTCAATTACAGTCACAAACTCGCTACGTTATTTTGTCTCATAGTTTAACTACACCATCTTAACAACGGATGAAAGCCCTTGTATGTTATCTTTCTGATATCAAAGGCACAGTTGAAATCCGTTAGTCCTCTCTGTTATCACTGATACTACAGCTTCCAGGATCCTACTTAATCTTAATCTCATAAACATCAAACACAAGGATATGTCCACTGGGGGATGTGTCAACCAATCAGCATTAAGATTTCTAAATTCTTGGCAAAAGAGGGAAGCATTCAGAGGAGCATATCTGATACCTGCATCTTGAAAAGGAATGTAATTGAGAATCTGAGGTGTCGAAAATAGTAAAGCTGCATTGCTATATCCTCATGGATACATATATGTGATACATGCTACCATTTTGGAGCACCACGGTTTCTACACACTGTAGCTGGATTTTACTGATAGTCAATTATATAGCATTGAATTAACAGGCTGTATGGTTGATAGAGATCTAATCTGTCTCACAGTCCCTGAACCACACTATTTTCCCTACTGTACTGCCCTCCTAGTCTGTATCACAGTCCCTGAACCACATTATTTTCCCTACTGTACTGCCCTCCTAGTCTGTCTCACAGTCCCTGAACCACATTATTTTCCCTACTGTACTGCCCTCCCTGCAATGCTAAAGCCCTAAATGTCTTAAAAGGTCACATAAACCCTAGGGGTACAAATACATAAATCACTAACTGGCATCGTTATAAATGAAACCCCGTAATTAAAACTACTCATTTCGACCTTTAATTGACTTAAATCGACCTTTTGACAACAGTGCACAATTCTCACCCGCGAACGAAATTTCAACCAATCAGAATGGCGCTCTGTGACGTCATATGAGGAAATAGCTTTGAGAGCCGATGCAGAATTCATCTACATTTTAGGGGTAAATTATCTCGTGTTTACAGGCTTGTATAAACCTGAAATCGTGACAATTGTTGTGGAAAAATGAAAGCTATATGTTCTCACAATCTACTGTCATTTAATTTTGTCTCCTGCTTTGCCTAGTTTCCGAGTTACAACTTGTTTTCATAGACGATTCTGTCAAAATCGATTGGTGTCGTTAGGCCCTATTTGTATAATGACTGATCCAAATTGATCCCATTTCTGTGTTGTTTTACCTCGATATTTAATCATGTCATGTAAAAATCTGTTTGTATTCTCAAACAGTGTCGGCCCATAAGTTTTCACATGCAATACAGCAATTAATACTCCCTCGTTGTAACCCGTGTTAGGTGGTATAAACCTACACATGTTATTTGTCATCATTCACTTGATGGTCAGTTAATGAATTTAAAACAGGTATAATTAGTGGTAACACACTTGAGATTACCTGACAAAGGTTCCCATTTGGCATTTCTTGTGTCTGGAGTAAATATTCAACATTATAAACATCGATCAAAGGATTAACCGATAACACGCTGATTGATTAATTACTTTTATCTTACACAGCGGAATTGTCAAAAGGTAGTGTTTATGTATGTAGAGTTACTAATCTATACTGAATACACTCTGTCGTGTCGGTGTCTCGCGTAAAAACAACGTCCTTCTTTCAAAGGATTAACCGGCAATACATTGATTGATTGCCCATTATTGGCTAACTAAATTACTATATTTTTAAAGAAAGGCGGACATTATGCAATTAGTTGCCAGGTGTGCTATCTTGGGTGACCAATGAGACTATACACCAATACCTGAAAAGATTTATCACTTTTTCGTATATTAAACTGTTAAAAAGACACATCATTTGGAACAGTTTTGTGGATATTGATGGATACATTCCTCGAACAAGGTAATGGCCTGATATTGTTCCTATAACTTTAATCTGTTTTAATTTTAATATTTGCATTTTGTTTTATTCATTTGTCGTAGCATTCAACAGAATCATTGTTTTCCACTGCGTGAAGTGTAATGAGACAGACAACATGCACTAGGGTGTGTGTGCGAATTATGATTCACATTGGCAAACTATAAAATGTCTAGATATTACAGTTCTGTTATAAATTCACTATAAGTATCAGCAGATCGCGTCTGCTTTTTATTTAGTTTCAAAATGCATACAAGTGATGATAATAAACTAATTAGGATTATAAGACCAAATATAAAGGCGCACATTGACTAGTATCTACATACTGGTGAGTGGACATTAACCATGGGAATGTAGCAAAGAAATTTATCGGCAGCAGTGATTGTGA